CACGCTCTTAAGCCATCTTCCAGGCCCACTTTCCAGTGTCTTGGGGCGGGGTGCTCAGGAGTGACAGCCAGAGGTGCACAGGGGGACCGTATGTGGTGCCAGGACTTGAACTAGGCAGCTAAATGCAAGTGCCTCATCTCCTGTGCCCCACCCGTGGCCCCGTTTGCGGGTTCTTGGGGATCAACCCAGGCTTCATCCATGCAAAACAAACATGAACTGTAGCTCGAGTCCGATTTCTGCTCTTTCTAATAAAAATAATCATACTTCTGGAATCGGGGCAAAATAAGGTCGAGCTGTTTGGTTTTCTGTTTTATCACTGAAACACATTTACTTTCCAAATGATGTATCAGCACTGGAAGCCATTATCTCGCCATCGCTAGTGTTGTGGGATTGTAGGTAAGAAAGGGGCCAAAACAGGGGCAGACGGAATCTCGATTTGTTTTCCCTCAGCGGCACTGGATTCATTTAATGATGTCACTGACCTCTGGTGGGGCTTGGGCAGCTGCTAGGGACTTGGCGCTGATCGTGAAGGTCAGTGGGTCCGAGCGGGGCCGCCTGGGACCATGTCTATATGAGAACGCTCCCATTGTACACGAAGGTCAGAAGATTGAAAATACACACAGAACTTGGAGATTGCCGCTGACTATTACGTTACGCTCCAGGACTGTGCCCTGTCGTATTTTAATTCAAGACAAATGTGAAAATGATAAGGGAGAAAAGGGCAAACTTGGTCTGTATTTTCTGATAACATTGCAGACTAGGGAACTGAAGGAAATCGTGGATGCCTTGGTTGCATAACTCGACTTCTGACTGACTCACATGATAAGGAGCGCTTGATAAATGGATGCACCAGATCAGCAACTTGAAATGTTTTCATAGCAGTTTGGCATGAGATTTGTTCCTGCCATGCAGTATATTTAATTCTGCAGAAAACGGCATAAAAGCATATGCACTCGGAATAATTTCTGTGCACTAAGATGGGAGCTGAGAGGCGTTAAAGGGCTTTGTTCCAAAAATACTTCTCTCCACCAGCTTGCAAAGCGTCGGCATGTCTTACCTTGGTTTCTGCTTTTACACTAAGTCATTGAAGTTCTTTGCAGGCTGTAGGTGGGGTTCTGAAAGCCGTTATTCATTAGCACCCAGCTCAAGTTCACTTCTCTGACCGCCCGCCAGCCAGTCTTAGGATGGGGAGAAAGAGTGGCCGAGTTTTGGTTTGGTGTAAAAGAAGACATCTGGGAAGTCTTGGTGACACCCAAAGGGGTGGGCCGGGGTGGGCCGGTGTGTGCTGGAAAGCCTGGCCTGCAGGGGGCGCTGTCGGCGGTGAAAGGTGGCACCCAGCAGGGCTGGAGCCTAACCTCACAGGCGTGAGTTCAGGGTTCGGGCCCCAGCGTTGCAGTCAGTGAAAAGGTCTGAGCCCACAAATCCCTGGCAGCTGTTTGAACCCCCCCCCCCTTGGGAGTGGCTCCCAGGACCCCCTGACCTCCACCCAAAGGAAGGGAATTCTGATCCTTGTTCTGTGGGTCAGTCTCGAACCCTGTCCAAAGGCTGGGCAGCGACTTCCCTTAAGACAGGTGAGGGTGGTGGGCTTGATGGAGACAAGGTGGTTTCCCAGAATGGAGGGATGGAAAGGGGTTCGGGGCATGGCTGGCGTGGGAGGTGCCACAGATTCAGCATCCTGCCTGCCCCCCAGTGCCTTAAGATGGTGCATTTTCTTTTTGTTTTTTGGGCATACCCGGCACTGCTCAGGGGTCACTACTGGTGCGCTGAGGCGTCACTCCTGGAGGGTTTGGGGGACCGTATGAGATGGTAGGGATAGAACCCGGGTCGGCCCTGTGCAAGGCAAGCGCCCTCCCCTCGGTGCTATCACTTCAGCCCCAGGAAGGTGCATTTTCTGTTGTGTTTTCTGAAGTGGAGGAATAATTAGACGTGGCCACTTTAAGCTGGAACACTTGCATCCCAGAAAGGCGCTGTTTCTTAAGAGTTTATCTGCAGACTGTGCTCAGATTATTTCGTTCAGCTTGAACATAAGTTCTAAGAGGACAGAGACTGTGATTTTTGGTTTTGTTTTTAAATTTGTTTTTAGGCTACACCCAGCTGTGCTGAGGACTTACTCCTGGCCCTGTGCTCAGGGATCGCTCCTGGCACTTCTCAGGGCACTGAGTGTGTTGCCAGGGATTGAGCCTGGGGTCTGCCACATGCACGGCAAGCACGTTCCCCGCTGTACTGTCTCTCCAGCTCCGGAACTGGGGCTTCAAAATGATCTTCACATGTATTCTCAGATGGTTCATTTGAAGTCCACGCCTGATTTTAATGTGGAAAACCTGGGTTTTCCCAAAGGAAGAGGCTCTTAGTTGGTGGTTCTCAAGGTTGCTGGGGAGGCATTTACCCCTGAGACTCTGGTCACCATTTGGAGCCGTTTTTGTCGTCGCAACTCGGGCTGTTACTGGCACTGAATGGATGAACAGGGGATGCTGTTCATTCGACGCCCTAAGCTCCCACAGCCGAATGCATCTGAGCATCAGGTCCAGAGCTTCAGGCCCCAGGGGGAAACCCTCTTGGAAAAATGGAGATTTGTTTTTTTTGTTTGTTTGTTTGGTTGGTTTTGGTTTCCTCTGGCTCTGCACTAAGGAATTTCCCCTGGCACTGCTTGGGGGACCATATGGGATGCCAGGGATTGAACCCAGGTCAGCCGCCTGCAAGGCAAACGCCCTATCCACTGTGCTGTTGCTTCAGCTCCCGAAATATGCGGATTTAAAAAGAAATTTATTTAGGATCGTGACCAAGAAGCCCTGGAGCCCACATGGGGAGAGCTTGGTTAGAGACGCCTTGGGAGGGAGGTTCACTTGTAGGAAACCCAGGAGGGGAATGAAAAGAGCGTTTCACGGCGTGGCAGGGAGCCCCTGGGCAGCTGCTGAAGGGGGCTTTGTCATAGCTCAGGTTGAGGGCGTTTCCTCCTGAGGCCGCGGGGCCACTGGAGTGAGAGATTTACCTTGTACGAGGCGGACCCTCGCCCCTTCCCGTAAGGAGCAACCCCTGAGCAGAAAAAGAGAATTTCCTCCTGGTCTCCATACCCGTGGGGTGTGCGTTTTGAGTGGCTGCCCCTCTGTCTTGTGCTGAATAAAAGGGTTACTTGAGCCTCGGAGACGCCGGGGTCCCCTGGCAATAGCCCGTGATTGCTGCCTGCATCTGCGGGCTGCCCTGGGCGGGGCCTGCTTAACTGGGCTGCCCCCTGGATGGGCAGACACTGGGCTCTTCCCAGGCCTCTGCCAGGTTCCTGTACGCCTGACTTCCCTGCAGCTTTATGCTGCCGCGACTGGAGCTTTGCCGTGTAGCCAGCACGGAGGAGCTTAGTTCACTGTTATCCAAAGTCTTTACTTCCTAAATTGCAGGATGTCACCCCAGTGGGGTGGTGTAACTTTTTAAAAATGTGTTTTGGGTACGCACCTGGTGGTGCTCAGGGGCCCATTACGGTGTCAGGGTTTGGCCCCAGCCGCCTACAAGCAGCGTCTGCGCCACCCTTAGCCGCATCTCTGGCCCTACGTGGGTATTTTCCTTCTGCTCTCAATATCTGCCCTTCCCTTCCTCACCTCAGCACCTCTGGCTGGAGCCACATGGCTAATTCTGGCCCAGAGTTAGGGGCAGAAGTGACCCTGGGTGTCCCTGGGATGGGGGCACTGTCCCCCTAGTGTCTCCTTCCTGCTAGCGGAAGTCCCCAGCACTAAGGGGCACCCACACTCATGCCCAGATTGACCAAGGCCCTGACCTTCAGAACAAAGACACAGCGTGTGTGCTCCGTCACATAGCATGTGTGTGGGTGACGGGGGGGGGGGGGGGCTTTGGGTGTTGCTCAGTAGGGGTTCAGGGTGTGTCATCGTGTGCAGGGACCAGGCAGGTAGCGTGGGACAGGGATGTCCATGGGTGGTACCCGGGAGAAGCCATTCCTTTCCATGCTGTGATTTTGGAACGGATGGAGATTTTACTGAATACAAGGGTTTTGGCAAAAACAGCTGGAGGTTTCATACCAATAGTCTGGCACTTTGTTACATATGACCCCTTTGGCCAGCGGACCTGCTCACCCAAATGCATTCTGATCCTGTGAGAAAAGAACTGAATCTTTTTTGGCTCTGGGGGGGTCACACCCAGCAGTGCCACAGGGATTGAACCCTGGTTGGCCGCATGCAAGGAAGAAGCCCTACCCAGTTGTCACTGAGTCCCCAAGAGCTGTATGTTTAAAAAAAGTGTGCACTATGATTGATAACTCCGTTAATAGGGATGTTTTTGGGATACAGTGTTGCTGCATTACACCCACGAGTATCCAAGCTGCAGCTTGACGCCAAAACCTGAAGTTGCCGCCAGAGGCCCCTGCTGCCACCTAGTGCCAGCACCCAGCTATTACAGGTCCTTTCCTTGCACCTTGTTCCAGGTGCAAACGTGTCACCTCCGCTGGTGGAATGGCTTGTATTCTGCCCACATCCAGCTGCCGGGTTGTTCTTGGGCTGATATGCCGGCACAGGTGTGGAATGGAAAGGGCCCACATCCGCCTCTCCTGGAAAGGGCAGATTTCTTGTTACCGACGAATAAACCAGAAGGGACCCATCTGGGGTGCCAAGCGATGTATTGGCTCCTGCGTGCAGGGACCAGTGGCGGGGCCTGTGCCTAGTGTGCCAGCGTGGTCTGGACAGGGGCCAGTCTCTCAGTGCACAGCCAGGGAGTGCATGAGCGAGGCATGCACCCCGCATTGGAAGGCAGCGCTGAAGTCTGCAAGCACTTTCATTTACCAGTATCTTCTAGTTCTTTCGGCGGGGGAACCCACACACCACCGCACTCGGGGTGTATTTCTGGCCCTGTGCTCAGGGTTCGAACCTGGCTCGGCAGGATGTAAGCCAGCGCCTTAACCTCTGCACGTGCTGAAGCTCCGCGCGCATTTTCGGGACACGCCCAGTGAGGCTTAGGGGTGCCTCCCCTGCACTCACTGCCTCGCTCCCCTTTCGTTTTCGCAGTTAACAAGCACAAGCCATGGCTGGAGCCCACCTACCATGGCATCGTCACCGAGAACGACAACGCGGTGCTGCTGGATCCGCCGCTGATCGCCCTGGACAAGGATGCGCCCCTGCGCTTCTCGGGTAGGCGCCGCGCGGGGCATGCTGGGGGGCGGGGCGTGCCGGTAGAGGGGCGGGGCGTAGCGGGAGGGGCGGGGCCTGCAGGCAGGGGCGGGGCTTCTGAAGGGGCGGGGCCTGTCGGCCGAGGCTCTCCGAGCCACTGGGGAGGGAGACCGTGTCTTTTAGAGCTGCTTATGCCTGGGGTTTTCCTTTACAACTTTAACAGCTGGTTTCCTGGCCACTCTCCCGCCAAGAGCTTATACTCGTTCCAAAGCTACTGCCGTGTTGCTTGTCACCAGGTAGCACCAAGGGCAGTAGCGCCTGAGGCCCTGCTAAGTCGCAGACTCCCTTGCCAGGGGGCAGGTGGGTGGGGACGGGGTGAGGTCCCCGAGCAGCGATGACAGCTGCCGGGGTTTCGCGAGGAAGCTGAGCATTTCTTTTATTTAGCGGGAGTGCAGCCAAGAGTGCGTCCCATCTGTTTCTGTTTGGCGAAGACGCCCCCTAGGCAGATCCCACAGCCTGGGGCCAGCCGCCCCACGGGGACACGGGGGTCGCAGCCAGATTGTCCTCCCACCCTGGCGAGAGGAAGCTCAGAGTTTGCCTTTCATTCAGCTGGAGAGGGCACTGCAGAGGTTGGGGCCCGGCCACTCTGCTCTGGCGGCGTCCCCATTAGCGGGCTTTCCAAGCCGCGGTGTGTGCAGTGCTGGCCGGACGGCGCTCCCATCCCTCTTGTCCCAGAGACAGACTGCCATTACCAAATTAATGGGGGAAGAGGTTTTTTTGAGTTATGTCTTTGCCCAATAACAATTCTCCAGTTAAAGAGCAAGTTGTGTTTGCCTGCACGTAACTCAGACAAATGCGGTTGACTGGTTTGAGCCCCAGGACCGCTGGGCTGGCTTCGGGCGGGCTCTTTGGAAGACATATCTGTTCTTCATGCAACTCAGCCCACTTCCCCGTTAGGGCAGGTGTCCCGAGAACTGGCTGGTGCCACTGGGGGCGGCAGGGGAGGACACCTTACCAAATCTTTGTTTTACTTGGCTTTCGTTTTCAGCTAGAAATTCAGTGAGGTGGATGTTTCGTCTCACACTGAGGTGATATTCTGACACCCCAGACTTAAAGCCATTGTTAGCATTCACTGTTGGTTTCCCCTGTGACAGTGGTTCTGTGTGTGCGTGTGTGCACTCAACTTGTGTGTGCATGGGCACACTTGTTTACACGCATGTATACAGTGGTTCTGTTTCTTCACAAGCAGTGTTTGGTTCTCATAGGCCCTTGTAGTTCAGTGGCTCCCTAAGGTGCTGCCCACCTGCAGGTGTGAGAAGGTGGAAAGCCACCGAGCTGATGTAGGGCTGGAGCACTTGCTTCATGTGTAGGAGGTCGGGTTCAAGCCCCAAGTACCTCTGGGAGTGACCCCCAGCACTGAGCTGCCGGGTGTGGCCTCAACCACCCCAACAGAAAAAACACTGGCCTCGCTTTCATTTGGGAGAATGTGGGCCTTGTGGAAATTTCCTGCATTTAAGGATTGCCCATGGCCATTTCTGCATGTTCTTCCCCGGTGTCTGGGTGCGTGACTGTCAGCCGAGTGCTTGTGGAGTGCTGGTGTCCGTCCCCAGGGACGGGATGCTTCTACGGCTCGCCAAGGCCCGGCTAAGCGCCTTACCCAGACTAACTTGCACTTATGCTCAGTGGCCCTGAGGTATACTTCATGGCCATCTCCATTTTATTTCACTTTTATTCTTTTTTAGTTTTGGGGGGGTTGGGGTGACACCCAGTGGTGCTTGGGGGTTGCCCCCGAGGTGCTCGGGGGCCTTGTGGTGCCCGGGATGAAGCTCAGGGCTCCCTCGTGCACATCCTGTGCTCCAGCCCCAGCCATCCGGTGAAAGGGACAGCCCGGCCGTTGTGCTTGCTCCAGGCCCTGCCCAGAGTGGCTCTGTCCTGTGGGCTGGGCCCTCTCAGGCCCCCAGAAAGTTCCAACGCAGCAGTAGATGCAGTGTCGGTGGGACTCTGACTTGGAAGGGGAAATCCTGTCCTTGAAGTGTCTCTCAGTTCACTTTCTTGTGGGATTTCGTGTCACACTGTCATGCACCAGAACCATGTGTGAAACCCTGCTAGAGGGGTTGTGCTGGTGGGAATTTACCCCCATTTTTCACTGAGGTACAGAAGTTTGGTCCTGGAATCCCCCTACCCCTGAAGTATGTTTACACCAGGGCCGCACCAGGGAGAGGTCTGTCTTTGCTGCCGAGGACAGATGGATGAGGTGGTGTGTCCTTTGAGAGGTTTCAAGGGAAACGGTAACTCATAGTATTTTTCCCCTTTCTGTTGGAAGGAGGCTTGGGGGGGTCAACCAGGGCCTCACACATGCAGGGCAAGGGCCCGAACCACTGGTGTATCTCCCTTGCTACAAAGTCTTCTTTATCTTAGGGGGCTGGGGGGTTTATGTGGGCCTCACCCAGAGGTACTCAGAGGCCCTTCCTGGCCCTGTGCTCAGGGACCACTACTGTGGTGCTCTCCTGTCTCTGAGGCCCAGAATCTCTCCTCTTATTTTATTATTTATTTATTTATTTACTTAGCTTTTTTGGGTTACTCCTGACTCTGCACGCAGGAAGTACTCCTGGCGGTGCTCGGGGAACCATATGGGATGCTGGGAGTTAAACCAGGGTCAGCTGTGTGCAAGGCAAATGCCCTACCCGCTGTGCTCTTGCTCCAGCCCTGAATCTCTCCTTTAAAAGTCTCCAATTCAGCCATCAGCCATTCTCTATATCCAGAACATTCCCGGTCTTTATCCACCATTTCCCGGTCCTGATGCTTTGTATCTGTGGATCTGCCTGTCTGGTGCCTGGACATGTGGCAGCATGTGACGGTTGGCAGTGGCTGCCCAATGGGAGAATGGATCAGCTCCTCCTCTTCCCGCTGCTCACCCCAGGCCCCTAGCATCTCCACTCACAACGTGGACCCCTTGGTGGTCTCCCCGTGTGGGTGTGGCCTCCCGTGTGGGCGGGGCCTCTAGTGGGTGTGAGCGTCTTGCATGGGCGTGGCCTCCCTGTGGGCGTGGCTGTCGAGGATAGGAGCACCCTGGAACTGATTCTTGTGTGGACCCTGACCTGAGGTGGAGAGTAGACACCCCAGCCCTGGATGGAAACCTGTCCCTCGGTGCCCTGCTGCCCGATTGGGGTTGAGAAGGGTGGACAACCTCAGCTCTTTCACAGTGCCCTGAGCATAGACCCCCGAGTCATTGTGTGGCCTGGCACGGTACCAAACCTCTCTGTGTCCCAGTTATATCATTTATGCAATGAAAATAATGATGGCACTTAGAAGGTTTGGGGGTTTCTTTGCACTGGTAAAGAGCTTAAACCAGTGCCTAGTACCTGTTAAATGCTGTATTCACTCTTTGCTTCTATTATTAACAGAATCTTTATAAAAAAATTTTTTTTCTTTTTTACTTAACATTCTGTTGCTGACCCGGGCCGACCAGGGTTCGATTCCTCCGCCCCTCTCGGAGAGCCCGGCAAGCTACCGAGAGTATCCCGCCCGCACAGCAAAGCCTGGCAAGCTACCTGTGACGTATTCATATGCCAGAAACAGTAACAGCAAATCTCACAATGGAGACATTACTGGTGCCCCTCCAGTAAATCGTTGAACGGGAGGACAGTGCTACAGTGTTACAATGCTACAGCATTCTGTCAGAAGCGTTTTTCTCACGTGTCTACAATGGCTCTCACAACTTGCCTGTGTTCTCATAGAATGTATTTATTTGTTTTGGAGCCCCACCCGGGGATGCTCAGTTCTTACTCCTGACTCTGTACTCAGGGATCACTCCTGGCAGGGCTCAGGGGACCATATGGGACAACAGGAATTGAGCCTGGGTCAGCTGTGTGCAGAGCAAATGCCTGACCCACTGGACTCTCTCCCGGCCCCCCCCTCCCCCACTGTACTATCCCTCAGGCCCCGAGAATTTGTTGACTTGCCTTTGGGGAATCTCACACGTGCACGGCAAGGGCTCTAGTGTGGAGCTTTGGTTTGCGGGCCACAGCCAGCTGTGCTCAGGGATGACTCCTGGCGGGGTGGGAGGATCGTGTGTGGTGCAAGCCAGCCCCTCCCCCACTCTGCTCCCTCTGTCTCCTCCCCCTCAGAGTCCGGGCCTGGAGCTTCACTTGACCTTTGGTCATTTCTGGCTGTGACCGTGAGTTTGACTCCGCACCGATGAGCCTCGGGAAGAGCAGGGCCTTGATTTTCACGGGGTACCACGGGGACCAGCTGCTGTGCTCGGAAACTCACGTGGCCGGGCCCGAGGGTAGCCTGGGGAGGACTCTGCCCAGTTTTGCTTTTTTTCCTCTTTATTTTTGTTGGGGGTGTGGAGCACACGTGCGGGCTCTGTGTGAGATACGTGCCCTGCCACCAGGGTCCCATCAGGTTCCCAGCTTTGCTCTTCCACCAGCCTCCTGGGCTGACGACGTTGGGTTTGCTCCCATGAGCGGGAGGTGATGGGTCGGGGCGTATGCGTCTGCCATTTCTGGGTGGTAGAGAGGTAGAGATATTTGAAGACCTGGGGTGTGGGGCTTGGAGGAAGTGCGGGAGGCCATCCTGGGAGCCGCGGCCTCCCGCAAGGCTGAGACTCAGTAAGCACTGAGCGGCGGGTGGGGGTTGGGGAGAGGGCTCATAGGATCCCACCCCTCACACACCCCGGGAATGATCCCTGGGTACTTAAATCAGCTGTGACCCAAACTTGCTCCCCTAACCAGAATTTTTAAAAATTTTTTAATTAAAAAAAAATATTTTTTTTTTTACAAAATTTTATCTCCAAGAGAAAATTTAAAAAGAATGAAAGTTGGTCTGTGTTCCTGGTGATGCTAGCAGAGAGGAAGTGCATGGTGTGGACCTGAGTACCCCGCCAGGCCAGCTCCTGCCCGTGGCTTGGATGAGCGGGCAGTGAGGGGCGGAGGGGACACGGGTGTGGCGGGCAGGCTCGGCCGTGCATACGAGTGCAGGGTCTGGCTCTGTGGGAAGGACCTGTCCTCACGCACACGTGCATGTCCAGCGTGGCCACCGCCCCAGCCTCTGCTCCCAGCAGATGCAGAACTGCTCTGCATTTCCCCCTCCGCGGGGTCGGGGTCTTGGGGTGCAGCCGGGAAAACTGTCTTCTTTTGGTTTTGTTTTGGGGCCACACCTGAGAGTGCTCAGGGGTTACTCTTGGCTCTGTGCTTAGGAATTACTCCTGGAAGTGCCACGGGGACCAGATGGGGATCAGCCCTGCATTGGCCACTTGCAAGGCAAGCATGGCTCCTGCCCCATGGGCCAACTGTGTTCTTAACGCACAGCCCAGAATTCTCAGCGCCCGACTTGAGGCCTGCTGTTGGCATCCGGGCCCTGTTGTGTTGGGAGACACCGAGTGGGCGTGCTCAGAGGGTTACTCCTGACTCTGCTCAGGAGTGACCCCGAGTGGCTCCTGGGGGACCATATGTGGTGCCTGAGATTCAAACCGGGGTAGGTGGGGTGGAAGGTTTGTTCCTTAAGGCTTGTACTGTCTCCTTGGCCCTTCAATATATTGGTCTTTTTTTTTTCGGGACGGAGGAAGGTTTGGGTCACACCTGTCAATGCTCAGGGGTTACTCCTGGTTCTGTGCTCAGGAATCACCTTTGGTAGCTCAGGGGGCCATGTGGGGTGTGGGGGACCAAACCAGGGTCGGCCGAATGCAAGGCAAGAGCTCGACCTGCTGGACATCTCTCTGGCCCCCGTTTTTGCTTTTGGTTTCGGTTTTTTGGAGGTGAGCGGGATTTGGGGCACATCCAACAGTGCTCAGGGTTTATTCCTGGCTCTGTGCTCAGGGGTCACTTCTGGTGGGGCGCAGGGAACCAGGGTCAGCCCACAGACAAGGCAAGAGCCGTACCTAACTCTGTACTATCTCTCTGGCCTCTTGTCACTATGTATCAAAGTTTCTGGGAAACTGCTGAGCAGAGGGGCTGGAAGCAGCTGGATTTGTGCGGGTCTGGGTTTAACCCTGGGCCACACACCTAACTCTGCTCACAACCCATCTGGCCTCGGTGGCTCAGGGGGTCTGTCGCAGGTCTGCACATCTGGCTGGCGGCTGTGGACACCGAGGCTGGGGCGGGAGGTGGCTCGGGATGAGTCGGAGGGCAGGGACATGGCACAGGGGGCGGGCACATGTGGGCTGCTCAGCACGGCCCCGCCAACTTCCCCCGGCTCCAGGGACTGTCATCCCCGGCCCCTGCCGTGCCTCAGACTGTCCCTGTATCTAGAATTCCTCCCCAGACAATCACAGGATTCTTCTGTCCCTCTGTCCCTGCTGAGACAACATGTCCTGCAAGCCCCCCAACACCCGAAGCAAGGAAGGACAAGCACCCCCCCCCAGCCACCCTCTGCCCCACCCCCCTCTCCACCCCAGCCCGCCCCCTCGAGCTCACGGGGCCTCGCACCTTGCAGCTGTTGGCCAGTGGCTCCGGCCACCCTCACGGTCAGCAGCCTCAAGGGCAGGGCTTGCACGGGGCAGATAGCCACGTCCAGCCGTGTGCCACTCAGGCCCCGCGGGGTCAGCCCGTGTCCCGGGTCTCCCGGCGCCGTGCCACCCCGCGCGAACGGAGGCAGGGCTCAGGCCCCAGGCTCCGAGGAAGTCTGCTGATGAGGTGATGTTGCCAGAACTAACCCCCTGATGTCCACTTGCACGGAAAATCAGGAGAGTGGAGCCTGAGAGGCGATTGCAGGGCAAGTCCTGGGCCCGGGAGGGCAGGGCAGCCCGTGGCCGCCCAGCCCGGCAGCGCGGTCGGTGGTAAGTTGGCTCCGGGCCTGCGCCGGTGACCCCGCGTGTGTGTGCGTGCAGCCTCCGCCCGCTGCCCCGGCCTCACCTGCCTGTGGTACTGACGTGGGTTTATCTTTTCTCCTTTAGAGAGTTTTGAGGTGACAGTCACCAAGGAAGGTGATGACGGGTTCTTTCTCTCCCTCTCTTGCGTATTAACCCACTAACTCTGTTTATAAAATTGGGAATCAGCCCCTAAACAGAAAACACTGGCCTGCTTCTTTTGCCCTTGGTTTATTCTCTTTGTTTCTGTTTTTTAAGTACATGGATGGAAACTGTCTGTAACTGAACCCCGGGTTAGAAATATCTGGAAATCAGGCATCCATTTGAACTCTCCCGGATACTGCTGTGCGTTTCAGACCCTCGGCCCCGAGACTCTGGCTCCTGTCAGAGTTCGCGCTCAGCTGTGCGTTGGGACAAGGTCGGCCTTCTTCCCACGCGAGGCCGTTCTGGAAGGTTTCTTGTGGGCTCTCAGAATGCTGAGTTTCGCTCCTGTGCACAGGAAAGGAAATCCAGGTCTTTAACCTGTCAGCGGGGAGCCCCCCGCCCCCCACCGGGGCCCGAGCTCCTGGCAGCTGTGTTTGTGGGTCTGGTGGGGCCCGGTCCCGAGCCAGGGCCTGCCCCCGTCAGGGCGGTTGAAGTGGATGCCTGAGCAGCCGGTATTCCTACCCTTCTCATCCAGTGGTTTGTTTTTGATTCCCTAATTTTGGCCAGGCTCATTGCACAGGAAGACGCGTTTCTGGTGATTTCTGTAATTACGGTGCCGAACCTAGCTCTCACGCTTTCCTCTCTCCACGCCTGACTGCGTTCTAGCCTTCTCTCTGGTCAGGTCCAGAGCGCCCCCCGCTCTGCCTGGAGCTGGGGTGCCGTGTGGCGTGGCAGGCCTCTGCCGCTGGCTAATGAGGCCCCTTCCCCCGGAGCTCCCGAAGTCTCCTGTGAAATGCCTGTCTGTCTTCTCGCTCTTTTGTATCCCTGCATGATTGGATGCAAAGTTCAGCCAGTTGCCTGGAAAGCCGGACCGCGCTGCTCCGTACTAAGCCCCCAGCTCCCCGGGACACAGTGCCCTCGCTTCCCCACCGGCGCCCCCCTCCTTGGCTGCCCTTGTCATTCCTGTGTGCCGGGGGCGGGGGCGGGGGCAGAGACGGGGCACGAGCCAGCGGGCTGCGGCCGGAACCCTGACGCCGCTGCTTTGACTCCCCAGGTGAGATCTGTGGATTTAAAATTCACGGGCAGAATGTCCCCTTTGACGCCGTGGTCGTGGATAAGTCCACGGGCGAGGGCCTCATCCGCTCCCGGGAGAAGCTGGACTGTGAGCTGCAGAAGGATTACTCCTTCACCCTGCAGGCCTACGACTGCGGCCAGGGGCCCGACGGCGTGGGCGGCAAGAAGTCCCATAAGTAAGTACCCGCCGCGCTGCGTGAGGGAGAGACGAGCCCCGGCCTGGCTGTGGGCAGCACGAGTCCACTGGGCTTCCTAAGCTGTCCCGTGGGGAACGTGGGGACCCCCCACTCTATGCCAGAGGAGTTTTGGGCATCTCTGCATCCCTCTGGGTGCCCGCACCTCCTTCCTGCTGGCACAGTGAATTCCCGTTCTGCTCTTTCTCGGGCACTGTGTGCCCTCTGCCGCTGATGCTGTGGGTGACTTACTGGTGGCGGGAGACCCCGAGGGGGGTGTCCTGCCTCACTTGGGGCCCTGCCTGAGGGTCAGGACCAAGGAATCTGCCCGGCACAGACTGACATCTCCCCAACTCCCCACGCCCTTGGCAGCTGGGCCTGGGTCCCACCTGCTCCCCACTGTGTTGGACTTGACCCCTGGCCCAGGAATGGGGAGCCGAGGGGCTCAGCAACAATTGCTCCAGGCAAAGGAACCTGGGCCAGAAGTGCAGCCTGGCCTTCCCTGGGCCTCGGGAGGAAAGACACAGCAAGAGGAGGGGACTGAGGCGAAAGGAACAGTTTTCCAGATGGGAGGAAGGAGAGAGAGGCGCGGTCAGGAGAACCCGCGTCTCCGCAGGGGGCAGCCCAGAGGCCACGTCTCGGGGACTGTCCCGCCCCGGCAGAGCTGGTTTGAGGGTGAGGTTTCCCCCAGACGCCCCGGCTGGGGCTTTGAGGCTGGTAGGAGACGGGTGGGAGTCTGTGGCTGGAACGCTCGCCAGGGAAGAGCTTTGGTCCTGGGTGTCCCCCTCAGGGTCCCGCCTCGGCCTTTGTTCCTGCGGGAGCCTCTGCTCTCCAGAGGGGCCCAGCCCAAGGCTCAGCTCCTGTGTCCGCAGAGGGCTCCGGCCTCCAGGCTCCTTGGCTGTTTTTTGGCTCGGAGCAGAATAACTTCCCAATCACGCGCTCTGGCTTGACTTCCCGGTGCCCCCACCGTCTGCTCCTCACCAGCAGAGTCAGTCCTGGCGAGTCTGGGGGGCCAGTTCATCCACTGAGGTGGGGGGTTGCTGAGAAAGTGCCAGGTCCCCCATGAAGGTTGGGGGCTGGGAGGCCACAAGCACCCCTCATCCTGGTTCCCCGGGTGGGGTCTGTGTTCCTGGGCAGGAGAGCCAGCGAGACCGCCCGGAGACTGGGGTCCTTGTTTCTGTCCCGTCCAGCCCCTCAGGGAGCAGTCAGGCAGCAGGGCCGTTACCCCCGCAGACTCCCGGGCTCTGCCCCAGCATGTGTGCCCACTGAGACGCCCTGATGCCGCTTCCTGAGCATTTTCCTCCCTTCCCTCCGTGTCTGCAGAGTGGAATCCGGAGCTCACTCCTGTGGGCCCCGCCCCGCCTCCGTTCCAGCCTCCCAACTCCATTCTCTGGCCCTACTTTGTCTTGGGCTTCTCACGGCATGTGTCCTTGGGAACGGATGTCTCTGTTGCAGTTTATTCTGTCAGTGCAGCCAGTGGGGCTCTAGCCCAACTCTCTAGAATCTGCAAGAATCAACTCAGATTCCTACTTTCCGTTTTGGGGGCCACACCCAGCGGTGTTCCGGCTCACTCCTGGCAGCTCCTGGGGGACCCTGTGTGGCGTGCGGGGTCAGGCCGGGCCGGCTGCGCGCGGGCACGCTCGTCAATCCCTAGTCTGTTTTGCTTCCGGTTGTGTCTGTGAAGTGGAGAGTGAGCGTGATTTGCGTCTTGGTCCCGGTGAGCACCCACGCGTGTCCTCTGCCCACAGGGCCGCCGTGCACATCCGGGTGAACGACGTGAACGAGTTCGGGCCCGTGTTCAAGGAGAAGTCGTACAAGGCGACGGTGGCGGAGGGCAGGCAGCCCGACCGCATCCTGCGCGTGGAGGCCGTGGACGCCGACTGCTCCCCGCAGTTCAGCCAGATCTGCAGCTATGAGATCGTCACGCCCGACGTGCCCTTCGCCGTGGACAAGGACGGTGAGGCCCAGGCCCCTCCTCCCGCGCCTAGGGGACGCCTCCTCGGCTTAGCCCCCACTCTGCCGGCGTGTCAGTGAGGCACAGAGAGGGGGTGCGTGCGAGCGCCACGTGCCAGGGTGGCGGGCGTGTGCGTGGCTCTGGTCTCCGGGACCCTGGCCTTCTCTCCGTGTCCCCGCGGGCGGGATGCATCCTTCTTCTCTTCTTATCGTCCTGAAGCCCAGTGTGGGCGCTGCCCTGGTGCCCTCCCCCAACCTTGTGCTCCCCCAAAGGCCCCATCCCTGTGTGAGGGTGCTCCCACCTGATCCCGACTCATGAGGCCAGTGCTCTCTTCCTCTGCTCTTGCGACAGGCCCCACGAGGGCTGCAGTGGCAGGACCAGGCTTAGGGGCTCTGCTTCCCGATCCCTGTGGGCCCCCACATTCCTGGGTGTGACCCCAGTGGGCCCCCCACTGGGCCTGAGCATCACCTTCTCTGCAGGCCTGGCCTTCAGCTGTCCAGCCAGGTTGATGGAGAGTGCCTGGGAATCGGAGTCATCCCCGGGCCCCCTCAGTCCCCTTAGGATACGCCTCTCTGTCCGCGGCCTCTGAGTAACTGGGCACTGGGCACTGGCCTTGCTCCTCCCGTCAGTCTCATCTCGAGGATCCAGGCATAGGCCTCCTGCCAGGCCTCTGCGTCCTCAGGAACTGGCCGGAAGGAGCTATTTTAGAGCTGCTTGATTGGGTTACAGTGTCCTCACAGGGACCGGCCCAGGGCTCTGATGACGTCACGGGCATCACAGGCCGTGCGGTAATGGTCACTCAGCCAGGGCGCCCAGTCAGGCCCCCGCAGCTGCCTCCCGCGCTGCTGCTGTCGCGTTGAAGCACTTGGATTCCTTCCTTTGGCTTCTTCCTTACGTGCTAACTGCGAAACCCTGAGATCAGCGTCCCCCTCCCTGACGCCCTCCTGTGGGTGAATGGGAGTCAAGGTGCGGGACCTTCCCTTTGCGAGGGTCTGCGCGGCCGTCCTCTGGCTCCCGCGGGGCTGGGGGCTCACGGTTGGTCCCCCCGGAAGGTTACATCAGGAACACGGAGAAGCTCAACTACGGGAAGGAGCATCAGTACAAGCTGACGGTCACGGCCTACGACTGCGGGAAGAAGAGGGCCGCCGAGGACGTGCTGGTCAAGATCAGCGTCCGGCCCACCTGCACGCCCGGCTGGCAAGGTGAGCCGCTGCCCCGGCCGGCCCTGCGGCGGCCCCGCCGCGCCTCGAGTGCCCCGTTCCACGCGCGTGTGTGTGCCCGCAGGGTGGAGCGACAGGCTCGAGTATGAGCCGGGCACCGGCGCCCTGACCCTCTTCCCCAACCTCCACCTGGAGACCTGCGGCGAGCCCGTGGCCTCCGTGCAGGCCACGCTGGAGCTGGAGACGGGCCACATCGGCAAAGGCTGCGACCGCGACACCTACTCTGAGAAGTCCCTGCACCAGCTCTGTGGTGAGAGGAGGGGGCGGTGAGAGAGAAGGAGTGAGAAAGAGAGGCAGGGAGAGAGAGAGACAGAGAGAGAGAGAGAGAGAGTGTGTGTGTATGTGAGTGTGTGGGGCTGTGTGTGTGTTGGTGGGCTTCAGGCTTCAGGGGAGGCTAGAACCACCCCCAGAGTGTTCTGTGGGTGGGGACATTCATCATTTTATTGTTTTGATTGGAGCCACACCCTGCGGTGCTCGGGGCTTGCTCCAGGCTCCGTGCTCTCGGGTCACTCCTGGTGGGGCTGTGGGTGCTGTTTTTCCCCTGGCAGCCGACTGAGCCAGGAGGGCCTGCCTATGGCCACGCTGCCAGGATATGGCAGAGCTGGCCTTGGCACCCAGGGTGTCTGCTCCTCTAGACTTCCAGTCGCATCATGCCACCCCTGGAGACAGGACAAGGACCAGGGCAGGGTGCAGGTTCAGGAGCAGGTCCGGTCCCCAACACGGGGACGCTTGTGAAAGTGCTCTTCTTGGCTTGGTGACCCCGTGCCCAGGGCTGGATCCTGAAGATGTGGTCTGGGGCCCTGTGCCAGGAGGCACGGGAATGGGAGGAGGCAGTGGGGGCGACTCCGTTCCCAGGGAGGTCAGTGCCACCAAGTGCCGGGTCTGAACAAGAGGGCTCCTGGGGTCGGCGTGTGCCACCAGGCTTCTGCAACAGGCCTACATTCGCGGGGGGAGCAGGAGCGCCTCATTATCTGTTTACTTGGTTTCCTGGGCTGTGCCTGTCCGTGCAGGGGTCACTCCTGACGGGGCTCACTGGGGGCAGCAGATGCAGTCCCCGGCATGGCTGGCGTGAGGCTGGTGTTGACAGTGGGGAAACCTGGGTGCTTGCCCATCATGCCCTCGGCCTGTCGCACGGCCTTGCTGCCTCTTTCTCTTCCTTTTCATTTTGATTTCTCTTTGTTTGGGGCACGTACCCAGAGAGGCTCACTCAGGCCTTACTCCTGGCCCCGCACTCAGGAATCACTCCTGGGAGGACCCCGGGGGCCCTATGGGGTCCAGGGATCGAATCCGTGTCAGCTTTGTGCAAGGCAGGCGACCCACCACTGTGCTATCTCTTGGTGCCTCTTTCTTCCTTTTAAAATACTTTTGATTGGGGGGCCGGAACAATAGCACAGTAGGGAGGGCACTTACCTTGTGTGCCACTGACCTGGGTTCAATGCCTGGTATCCCACATGGATCCCCAAGCATCGCCAGGAGTAATTCCTGAGTGCAGAGCCAGGAGTCAGCCCTGAATAGCGCCAGGTGTGACTCCAAAAGTGCCCTAAATAAATAAATAAATAAATAAATAAAATACCTACACGTGAACTGGCGAGATGGGTCAGTGGGAAAGCACTTCCCTTTCACATGGCCAAACTTGAGTCCAGTCCCCAGCACATAACACAGTCCCCAGGCCCCACCCGGAGTGACACCTGAGCCCGTCCCTGGGTGATCCCACACAGACAGATGCCCTGAGTCCTGGGCGGGAGACGGCCGGGCTCCCCGCGGCCCTCGGCCATCGCTCAGTCCGTGGCTGCAGACGCACGACCCAGCGTCCCTCTGTCCGGCAGGCGCAGCGTCGGGTACCACCGAGCTGCTCCCCGCGCCCAGCAGCACCGCCAACTGGACGCTCGGGCTCCCCACCGACAATGGCCACGACAGCGACCAGGTGTTCGAGTTCAACGGCACGCAGGCGGTGCGTGTCCCCGACGGCGTCGTCTCTGTGCGCCCCGAGGAGCCCTTCACGCTGTCTGTGTGGATGCGGCACGGGCCCTTCGGCCGCAAGAAAGAGGCCATCCTCTGCAGCTCTGACCGGACGGGTGCGTGGGGCCGGCCCAGGGAAGGGCACGGAGCCGAGGGCGCGGCGGGCCCCGAAACCCAGGCGGCATTCCCCCCCACTGAGTCGGTCCAGGCCCCGGCCTTGTCCCTGGCCCCAGGTGGCTCACTCAGGCTTCCTCTGCAGACATGAACCGACACCATTTCTCGCTCTCCGTGCACGGCTGCCGCCTCATTTTCCTGCTGCGCCAGGAGCCGGTGGCGGAGAAGAAGTACAAGCCCGCGGAATTCCACTGGAAGCTCAATCAGGTGAGCAGGAGCGACGCGCGGGGGCTTTGCCAAGCTCAAGGAGGCACCACGGTTCATGGGTCAGTTCCTGGAGCTGCCCTCTGAAAGCGGCTTTTATTTTATGTTTTTATTTTGGTTTTTTTTTTTGGCTTTTTTGGGGGTCACTCCCGGCGATGCTCAGGGGTGACTCCTGGCTCTGCACTCAAGATTTACTCCTGGCAGTGCTCGGGAACCATATGGGATGTCGGGGATCAAACCCAGATCGGCTGCGTGCAAGGCAAATGCCCTCCCTGCTGTCCTATGGCTCCAGCCTCTATTTTATGTTTTTAATATGTGGTTTACACCATACCACCAACCCGAAGTTGTCTGTTGGGGTCAGGGAGCCAGGTCACAGGACAGGAATGCAGGTGCTGCAGCTGGGACCCTGGGCTCCGGCCGGCGGGGCTCAGCTGGAAGGGGCTCAGAGTGACCTGCAGAGCCAGGGCGGCAGCTCAAGGGTCTTCCAGCTCAGAGCAGTGCTGGACAGGCCCTCAGGCGCTCACGGATGCAGCCCTCCATTGAGCCGGGCAAAGTCATGTGGCAGGTGTTAGGGCTGGCTGCCGGCTATGTGGCCGGAACCCCGTGCCCAGAGCCGGGAGTAGCCCCAGGCCAAAATGGAGATGGACTGACGTGGGGCCAGAGAAGCAGTGCATGGTTCAGATGCTTGCCTTCATGTGGCCAATCCAGCTGCGATCCCTGGCACTGTACGTGGGCCCCCAGACCCCACCAGGAGTGGTCCCTTGAGCACAGAGCCAGGAGTCAGCCCAGGACAACACTGGTGTGGCTCAAAAAGAAAAAGAAAAAATCCAAAAAACAACTGTGTTAATTTGACGCGTCTCTCAGAGTCAGCGGATGAAACTGCTGTGCAGTTAAATGTGCTGTGTCAGTGAAATGTTGGGCTCTGGCAGCAACAGCCGGGCAAGCAGATTCAAAACAAGAGTAAGAAAGGAATAAGCAGGTGCAGTCACAGCCCCTGGGCACCTCTGGTGTGGCCCCCGAGTTGGTCCCCTGAGTGCCAGGGTAGCACAAGTTACGTGGTTTTTGTTTGTGTAGATTCTTCCTTCCCCAAAACACTTTCGGGAACGAGTCCTAGGGTGGGGGCTAGGGGGTGGGCCACACCTCGCAGTGCTGCAGAGGGATTTTGCAGTGCTGGAATCCTCCATTCTTTCTCTTTTGGGCTTTTTGGGCCACACCCTGCGATGCTCAGGGGTTACTCCTAGCTCTGTACTCAGGAATCACTCCTGGCAGTGCTTGAGGGACCATATGGGATGCCATGCCGGGGATCGAACTCGGGTCGGCTGTGTGCAAGGCAGTCGCTCCACCCGCTGTCCTGTCCTGGGCCTGCAGCTTGCAGAGCCGCCACCCAGTCCCAGCCAGTTCCGCCTCAGTTTTGTCCGTGGTTTGCTCTTCATCCTGAAGGTCAGTTGAGCTAGCCGCGAAACTTGTGCCTGGCGCTGGAGATTCAACCCCAGAAAGCGCGTCTCTGTTACCATGTGCTGGAGCCAGGCTGAAGAGATGCCTCAAAGGCCTGAGCTTGGCCAGAGGCCCCTGTTGACTGTCCTGCACCCTGCAGTCCCCAGCATCTCGGGCGACCCTCCCCCAGATGCCTGGTTACGGTCTTGATTTTCCTGCCCTTGGAAAACACTCCGTCTCTGTTTGGGTGACCGAAGGATATTTCTTCTCTTTGGTGCTCTGGGACTCGTTTTCCCCCCCGCCTGTGGTGATCGGAGTTCAAGGGCATGCTTCCCGGGTGTGGTCCCCTCTGGGCCCGGCCTGACTCTGCGTCCCGCACTTCCTCCGGCGTCTGCTGGTCTTGTCGCCCTTCAGAAGTCGTCTTCCTCTCCTCCTCAGGAGAACTGCATTCTTCTGTATTCTCTTTTCTTCTGTCTTTGTTTGGTTTTGAGGGCCAAGCCCAGCGTGCTCAGGCTTCACTGCTGATGGGGGCCGGGGACCATCTTTGGTGCTGGGAGGGAGCTCAGGTTGGCTGCGTGCCAGGCCAGCACCCTCCGCGCTGTCCTGTGCTCTGGCCCCTTCCTGTTTTCTTTCGTGGATTTTGCAGTCGTGGGACTGTTTCCTCGGTGTGTCCTCGTGTCCTCTGTCCTCGGCCCCTGCCCTCTGCGTGTTGGCCGGTCCCTGCTCTCATGGTCTTAGACCAGACCCTGCCACTCATGTAGCAACACTGTCTTTCTGTTTTCCGGAACTGCAGTGCTTGGAAACGGGAGGCTGTGACGCGAGCTCATTTCTGAAGGAGCTTAAGCTGCCTTCGGCTTCCGTAGAGATGTGAGCTAACATGAAAGACTTCATCTGGCTGGAAGCTGGGTCAGGCGCAGTTCCCTTATCAGGAGACGCTTCCTGTGCTGTGCGTGTTAATACAAGCGCTGTGCTGTGCCCAGGGAGTGAGTGCACGCGCTGTCAGGTCCGACTGTCCCAGAACAGCCATGGGGGAGTGCACACACTGTTAGGGTGTAGGGTCTGATGGTCTCAGAAGAGCCCTGGTTAAGCACGTGTGCTGTTAGGGTCCGACTGTCTCAGAGCAGCCCTGGGTACGTGCATGCGCTGTTAGGGTGTAGGGGTCTGACTGTCTCAGACAGCCCTGGGTATGTGCACGTACTATTAGGTCCGACTGTCTCAGCAGGCACGGTGATCGGTTGCTTTCGGCGCGGCCACATGAGTAATGGATTTGTTTCGATGTCCTCAGCTTCTCATGGAGACACAGTTCCTTAGGATTTCAGTATAAATTGGAAAAACTTTGTAGAAATCCATTGATCATTCTGTTTTGGGGCCACCCTCAAAAGTGTTCAGGGCACCATATGGCTCTCGGGGGTCCCAACTGCAGGAGCTGGGAAGGCAGTGCCGTGGGCTGGGCGCTTGCCTTGCCCGTGGCCACCCTGGGTTCGATCACTGGCACCCTACTTGGTGTCCAAGCCCCACCAGGAGTAATTACTGAGATAGAGCCAGCAGTAAGCCCAGAGCACCCACCCCTGGTCCCTCTTCCTGCCTCTATTCCTGGGTGCCTGCCACCTCCTCTGAAACAGCAGCAGGGAAAGGGCCAGGGACCACTGGCACCCCTGGGCCCTGCCCTCCTACCTGGGTCCACACCGCAGGTCAGCTGAGGCAGGTTCCGGTCCCCGGGCTGCATGCAGAGGGGCCTCGCTGTGGGGCAAGGTGCCCTCGAGCTTGTCCCTGCGGCTCCTGGCACCGTGCTGTGCTCTTGAGTGGAGAGGTGGCCAGTGAATGGCCATGAGGTGGCCCGTCCACCTTAGATCTTACTTCAGACAGCTCGGGCAAGGGCAGAGTTAACAGAGACATTCGGTTGCTGTTGTTTTGGGGTTTTCTGTTTCCTGGGGAACGGGGGCCACACCCGGAGGTGCTCAGGGCTACTCTTGCTGTGCTCAAGGCTCACTCTGGTGACGCTCAGAGAACTGAAGGAAACTCGGCCACATCCAAGCAGGGCCAGCACCTTCACCACTGTTGGGTCTCGTTGGTCCTAATTGAGAAATCCGGGTGTATCTGTCAGTGAAAAGGACAAACTATGCACATGCGTATTTTCTGACCATAGTTTTTCACTGAGAATCACCAAGAATGGAGGCTCAAGAAATAATGCAGGGTTAAAGCTCTTGTTTTGCCTGTGGCTGACCCTGGGTCGGTGCCTGGCACCACACACGGACCCTGAGCACTGCGTGTGTTGGGCCCCTCCCCCCAGAAAAGAATGACCAACGACAGAATTCTGAGTCTTTCGTTGCAAAATTGCAATAGAATAGAACTGACGTATAAAACGCCATTCCTGTCGTATTCGTTTTTCTTTTCTTCCTGTTTTGTTTATGGGCCTCATTCCCCTGTGTTCAGGGCTTAGTCCTGGGGCGATCGGGGGGCCCAGTCAGCTCCGTGCAAGCAAGCATGCTACACGCCCTGTATAACTCCGGCCCTTGTCCTTTTTATTGATAAGAAATTAGGTCACTTGGGAGCCAGAGAGAAAGGACAGCGAGTAGGCATTGCCTTGCACACAACCGGCCTGGCTTCAATCCCTGGCATTTCACAGGGGTCCCCCGAGCACTGCCAGGAGTAATTCCTGAGTGCGGAGCCAGGAGGAACCCCTGAGCTGGGTGAGGCACCCTGCAAAGAAGAAGCTGTTCTATTTTCCTCGTGTGTGTGATGGCCTGGATTTGATTCCTGGCACCCCACCCCCCCAAAAAAAAAATGCCTGGACTGGAGAGAGTCCAGAGTCAGACGCCGCCCTCTGTGGGCACCCTGGTGCCATCCCACACTCTCTCTGAGCACCGCTGGGAGCGGCCGGGAGCCCCTGCACATTGGGGATTGTAGCTGCAAAGCCCTGGCAGCACCATGAACCTCGGACTCTCACACTGAGCCGTTGGCCGGGGTCCAGAGTCACTGGAGGGCTCCACTAGGAGCCCGTCTGCTGGTGTCCGGCAGCGTTGCTTTTGTGGCTGGCGCTGTAACTGAGGGGGGGGGATGGTTTCCTGCTGACTGTTCGCATGACCTGCAGGTCTGTGATGAGGAGTGGCATCACTACGTGCTCAACGTGGACCTCCCGAGTGTGACTCTCTATGTGGATGGCGCCCCCCACGAGCCCTTCTCTGTGGCCGAAGACCGCCCGCTCCACCCATCCCGGATCGAGACGCAGCTGGTGGTCGGGGCTTGCTGGCAAGGTGTGTGTCCGGCACTGACCCTGGCTCTGCCCGCTTAGGGGACGGGGTCGGGGGGGTGGCCAAGGTTGTCAGACTGTGCTCGGGGCTCGGCTTCTTGGACCCACCATGTTTCTTGCCCGTCCTGAGCTCCCACGGGTGCCGCACCCACAGAGCCCAGTGTGGCTCTGTCTGGGGCTCAAGGTCTGGGCCCTGGCATAGCACGGAGGGCGGGTGTGGCTGAGGTTTCCTAGATACATCTGTTGGGACGTCTGTGGGGATGCAGTCTCCCCCTGAGAAGTGTACATCAAGAAGCCTCAGTCAGGTCCTATCCATGGTGGCGTGTCTCAGCCCAGAGGGGCTCTCAGTGGCCGTCTCGGGGGTGCAGGGGGCTGGGCCACGTGCTGCTGCCCTGCCCCCTGCCCCCTCCCAACACTGTCCAGCTCTGCTCTCCGTGGGGATGGTTTCTTGTTGCTCCTTAGGAGTCCAGGCAGTGAAGTGATATGTTTTTTTTTCCCCAGCTTTATTCTCTTAACATCTTAAAGATTCCCCAGAATTTAAAATGCCTGTAACAAGTACTAACACTTTCCTATTTTCATACACGAGTACAGCTTCCAGCACACAGTCACTCAGACATGCCTTCCTGCCTCCCGCCTCTGCCTCTCCTTCTGCGCCAGGACTCGCAGGCCCGAGAGGCCAGGAAGCTGCTAGGGACACCAGCATCTCCAATTTGTACCTTTATCTTTTTGCCCGGGGGGTGGGGGGCCGCGGTGGCAGCCCAAGATGCCCAGGGCTTACTCCTGGCTCTGCATTCAGGCATCACTCCTGGTGGTGCTCAGGGACTGTATTGAATGTTGCTGATTGAACCTGGGTCTGAGTCTGCAAGGCAAGAGCCTCCCTGCTGGGTTATTGCTCCGGCCTCTCTCTTTTTTTTCCTTCCTTTCTTTCTTTCTTAATACATTTATTTATTGAATCGCCACGAGAGCAGTTGCAAAGCTTTCGGATTTAAGTCTCGGTCGTACAATGATGAAACACCCGCCCCTTCACCAGTGCCCATTCTCCACCACCAAAATCCCCAGTATATACACCCCCATCCCACACCCTCCCCCTACCCGTGGGGCAGATGATTTCCACATTATTCTCTCTCTACTTTGATTACAACCAATAGTTCAACACCAGACCCACCATTATTATTTGGGATTTTACCCCAACACTCAGATCTGCTGAAAAGGCAACATTATTCAGTTTGTTTTCTATTGCTGATTATGAATAGCGTATGATGGCATAGGGCTGGCTGCGATTTTGGAATTCTGAAGTTTTAATTATTTTAAATCTGAAGGGGTTTCTGCCAAAAGCTGCTGGGTTTCAAGATTTGTTTCTGAGTCCCTGGGATCCTGGCCGTTAAGCAGCTTGATCAGGAACCAGAGGGGTCGTTCGTGGGCAGTGACTCGGGGTCTTGTTGAGGCAGGGGAGGGAAGGGCCGGCTCCGCCCCCAGCCCGTGAGACCCCCGTGTGTCTCGTCACTGCTAGCTCCTACCTGGCTGTCCATTGGCCTCTGGAAGATGGCGGCCACCGAGCCGCCAGGGGGAACAGGCGGTGGGATGGCACCTTTTCCCCCCTGGGGTGCTGGCCTCTCTCTTTTTATAATCTTACCACATTCAGAGCATTCACTTGAGATCTCGTTTTAAATTTCCCTTGTCCGTGGCAAAGCTGCCTTTACTGCCATTATCCTGAGCAGTCAGATAGTAACCACACGGCCTGTAAATGTGTCCATGGGTGTAAATTCAGTCGGAGGCCGTGGGGCCCAAAGGCTGTGTATCCCATCCCAGGAAAGGCCGAGCACTTTGGGACCTACCTAATTTTTTAACCTTGAGTGGGTTGAAGGCTTTTTGTGTTTGGTCTTTGGAGTCAGTCCTGACTCCTGGCTCTGCACTCAGGATCACTCCTGGTGGGCTCTGGGGAATAAGGGATGCTGGGAATTGAACCTGGGTCTGTTGCGTGCAAGGCAAGTGCCCTCCCCGCTGTGCTCCAGCCCCTCCTTTTCTTCCCAGGGAAACTGAGGCTCAGAGAAGCAAAAGTCTGGGGATGGGAGGGTTCCCAGCGATTCATTGTGGCACCAGAATTTGAGCCCCTCAAGCTGGCGCAGGGCTGGAGGTTCGCCTCGGACACCAGCGCTGCAGCGGGCAGGGCCCGTGGCCAACAGCAGCCTGACTTGGCTGGTCCCGCCGGACCGCGCCTGCTTCCTCCGGAGCCTTGCGGCCAACATCGGCGCCGAGCTAGTGGGGACCATTGGGAGCTTTTCCCATCCAAGCTCCCACTGTGCACGGTGGTCCGTGTTGCCCTCAGGAGAGGGTCAGCGTGTACCCGCACAGCTCTGGGCCTCGCTTTCCCAGGAAGAGCAGCCGGGCCATATTGGAACCTCTGAGCAAGGGTCAGGACCGTCCCCGCCTGCTCAGCCTGTGCTGCCGTGTAGCCCAGGGCTCCTCGGCGGCCGCCTCAGTAAGGGCCGGACAAGCCTGAATGTTAACCGTGCCCAGCTTGTTGGGGCTACAAGGCCTGCTGGCTTCCATCTCCTGCCCCTGACACAGCGTCTCTGCAGGCAGGTGACAGCTTCCTGTCCCCTACTTTCGTCACTGCCTTTCATCTCTCAGCCTCTCCCAACACCCTTATCCTGGAACACCTCAGTACACACATACGCACGTGGGTGCACACATGTGCTGTGCTTGCCGTCAGCAAGAGGGTGGGGAGGGGGCGCAGTATGGTGAGAGGGGCCCGGGTCTCCGTCCCTGTGTGGAGCTGTGTGAAGGCGGCTCCCTTCCTCCCCTCCCATCTCCTTCCCTCCCCTGCAGACAGCACTCCCCCAGAATGACCGGAAAGCAGAAACTGTCCAGTGCCTGGGCTGGACATGCCACTGTGGCTCCCAGCCCTGAGCCATGCAGGGCCGAGGCTGCGGGGCCAGGCCCCATCAGCAGGCATCACTGGTGTGGAGGCCCGAGCCAGGAGCCCCCTGCAGCAGGCGGACCGCCTTCCTTCATCACGGCCCACCTAGACCTGGCTCTGTTCTCTGGGAGGCGCGTTTCCTGCTGTCAGCCACTGTTGCTCGGCCCTCCGCCGCCCCGGGGTGGGGTTGCGTGCCCCAGGCCACCCTGCTCAGAGCTCGGTGGGGGGCGACAAGCACGCTGCTTCCCTGCGGCAAGTGGGCCGGGGGTGCGGGGAGCTGGGGAGTGAGGGCGCCCAGGAAGAGGTGGTGAGCCAGGAGCCAGACTGGGGGCGGGGGGGGGGGGGCGGACGGTGCGGGGGTGTCGCGGTGTTTTTACAGCCCGCAGCCCAGGTCCGTTGGGACGCGCCTGACCTCGGCGCCGGCCTGTCTTTGTCTTGCTCCCTGCAGAGTACTCAGGCGTTGAGAGTGAGAATGACACGGAGCCTGGGCCTCCGGCCCCCACAGGTCACTGGAACGTTCTCTCCCCTTGGTTGCGTTGAGGCCCAGGCCTCCCCCCCCACCCCGTCACGCATGAGACGGCCTCATCGCGTCGGGCCCCCGACACCATTTCAGCCGCTGCCCTTCATGTCACCCCGTCTGCCCTTCCCACCCCGCGCTCATCCCGCCGCGTCGCCAGGGCCTGCCCTCACCGTCTGACTCCCCCGCGCTGCATGGGGCCCGCTGGAGACAGGCCGGGCGGGGGCACCCAGGGCGCTCGTGTGGCTGGACCCCGGCAGGAGACCCCGGGCCGTCCCGGGGCCGCAGCTGGGTTTGGAGCCGCCCCGTGCTGCTCGGGGCAGGGTGGGCCTGGAGCTGAGCCGGCGCCCGGCGCCCCTCCACCCGGGCGTCTCCTGGCCCCCAGGCACTGAGCGCTGTTGTGTGTTGTTTTTGTTGGAGCTCATGCAGAGCCCCCCGGGCCCCCCAGCCCTGCTGGGGCCTTCCAAGGCTGCAGGGATTGAACCAGCCTGGCTGTATGTGGACATTGTACTTTCACTTTTTATTTTCTTCTGGGCCCATGTAAGTGCTCACAGGCTGCTCCCAGCCTAGTGCTCAGGGCTTGCCCCACTTGTGCCAGAGGACCACGCCGTGCTGGGAATTGGTCCCGGGCCCGCTACCACACGAGGCCTATGGGCTCGGCCCTGCAGTTGTCTGGGTGCTGTTTTTGGCTGTCCCCGACACGTTCCCGCCCAGCCCTCGTCTGTGAGAGGAGGCAGCCGAGACTCAAGGTGCACGGCATCCCTTCCCACTCCCTGTGTTTGGGGGCGCACCCTGGGGGCACGCACCCCCGAGGTCCTGCAGACAAACAGGCCCCGGCGCGGGCACGGCTGGCAGGATCAGCGTTGCTTTTCCCTTCCGAGACCTTTCACGGTCACCGGAGTTTCTCCTGATCCCTCCAGCGAGGCGAGAAGCTGGGGTGTCACCCACCGCAGTGGGGCGTCGGGGCGGGACCCTGGGGGCCTCCCACGGGGCCGCCTGAGCCAGGCCCTGGCACGTGCATGGCATCGACCACCTCATTCTTCACGCGCTTCCATGTAGACGCTCGCGGGGGCTAACGGAGCGGCCGGAACTAACCGCATGTCCCTCCCGCGCTCCAGCCCCGGCCACTCTCACCCCTGCCCTCCCGCCCGCAGGTGGTGACCTGCGCATGGCACAGTTCTTCCGGGGGGACCTGGCCGGCCTGACCCTCCGGGCGGGGAAGCTGGCCGACAAGAAGGTCATCGACTGTCTGTACACCTGCAAGGAGGGGCTGGACCTGCAGGCCCCGGAGGACGGTGGCCACGGCGTGAAGGTACCGAGCGACCCCCAGCCAGATGCCCCGTTCCCTGGTCACACCGAGAACTGGGGGGCTCCGGCGCACTGCTGGCCCCAAGAACCGGGCTCTCGGTCGCCCACACATCCATCCAGCCCGTGTGCAGTTTGGGGCCCACTTTCAAACTGCGACGGCGCCGGACTCTCGCCTCTGGGAGGAGAGTTTGGATTCAGGCCCAGGCCCAGCTCTCCGTGGAGCCCTTGTCCCTGACGTGCGGGGCCTGGGTTCGAGTCCCAGCATGACCAGTCAGGAGCAACCAGATGGAGGAGACACAGGCAGGACTGGGCAGGACCAGAGAGGACAGAGCTGGCAGGCCAGGCAGGACTGGGCAGTACCGGGTGGGCGGGCAGGGCTGGCGACAGCCCTGGTCACGTGGCTGCCCCTGGTGGTTCCTCGCCAGCCCTCACCCCTCCTCCCGGCTCCAGGTCCCGGTCACGCATCCCGGGGGGTGGGGACAGGGGCCCACAGCCACCCCTGGCTGCCGACTGTGCCCCCTCCCGCTGAGCCCTGCACTCTGCTCTGCCCTTGGCCCGGCACAGATCCAGGTCAGCCACAGCCGCTCGGCGCTGACGGTGGCGAGCGAGGACGTCGGGGAGCTGGAGAAGGCCCTGCAGCGCGCCGCCTACCTCAACTCCCGCCAGTTCCCCACGCCCGGGACCCGCAGCCTCCGCCTCAGCAGCTCCGCTCAGTAGGTCACTGCTCTCGGGCCGCGCTCTGGGCCGGGCGACCGGACGTCCTCGCGCGAAGCCTGCGCCCCACCGGAGCGTTGGGCGGGCCAGGGCGCTCCCCTGGCCTGCTGGACTCCTGGTGGCGGGACCGCGGGGCTCGAAGGTGCATGCGCCGTGCAGGGTGGGCAGCAGGCACCGGAGGCGGTGGGTGTGGGGCGCCCCGGGGAGAGGCCCGGGCTTCCGGTGTGGCCACCGAACCAGCTGTCCGAGCCTCCCCCCTCCTCGGCGGCGGCGGCAGGTGCTTCAATGAGGCGGCCTGCATCTCCATCCCGCCGCTGGACGCCGCCGTCATGGTGCTGCAGCCCGAGGAGCCCAAGATCAGCCTGAGCGGCGTCCACCACTTCGCGCGCGCCGCTTCCGAGTTCGAGAGCCCCGAGGGCGTCTTCCTGTTCCCCGAGCTGCACATCATCAGCACCGTCACCAGGGAGGTGGAGCCCGAGGGGGACGGTGGCGAGGACCCCACAGGTGACCCCGCAGGCCTGGGCTGGGGAGTCGGGGTTGGGGCCGGGCGGCGGGCACCCCCGGGGTGTGCGGACACCAGCAGCCCGGCCTTGCTGCTCCGCAGTGCAAGAGTCGCTGGTGTCCGAGGAGATCGTGCACAACCTGGACTCGTGCGAGGTGACGGTGGAGGGCGACGAGCTGAGCCCGGAGCACGAGCGCCTGGAGGTGGACACGGGCCGCCTGCAGCAGAGGGGCCTCGGCGTGAGCAGCTCTGACCTGGGCGTGGTCTTCACGGGTGAGCCAGAGCGGCACATGCCGGCACCGGGGCGCCCCACGCCGTCCGCGGCCCCCGCGCCCTGACCGAGCTGCCCCCACAGGCGTGGACACCATGGCCAGCTACGAGCAGGCCCTGCGCCTCCTGCGCTACCGGAACTGGCACACCAGGTCCCTGCTGGACCGCAAGTTCAAGCTCGTCTGCTCGGAGCTCAGCGGCCGCTATGTCAGCAACGAGTTCCAGGTGGAGGTGAGCGCGGGCCCTTCCCGGCAGCGCTGCCCCCACCGGTCCTCTCCCCCACGTCCCCAGCTGCCCGTGCCCGGTTGCAGCGCTGGCCGGCGGTGCTGGCTCAGAGGCGCCTTCACGGCCCGCTTGTGTCCCTGCGGAACGGAAGCCCAGTGAGGCCAGGAGCCCCTCCCTCCCCCGCCCCTGCCGCCCGGGGCCCGTCCTGGGATTGTGGCGAGAGGGCCAGTGCTCAGTCCAGTGAGGGGCTGCGGGGCTCGGTGTCCAGGCCAGGTCAGTGCTTGCTCAGCGAGCTCTGGGGAGGACCATGGTGCCCTGGCATCCCGGGTCCGGGAGGCTGTGTCAGGACGGCGTCTCCTTGCGGAGGCGGCCGCATCACAGCGACTGCCGCTCCTCGGTGCCGTGCCCCAAGTCAGCCCCGCGCCCCCCACAGGTGAACGTGATCCACACGGCCGACCCCGTGGACCACGCCAGCCACATGGCCGCGCAGCCACAGTTCGTCCACCCCGAGCACCGCGCCTTCGTGGACCTCTCGGGCCACAACCTGGCCAACCCGCACCCGTTCGCAGGTAGGACCCCGGGGAGGGGGTGCCGGGGACGCCGGGCGGGGGTCCGGCCGTAGTCACAGCTGGGTCCCGCCTGTCGCAGTGGTCCCCAGCACAGCCACCGTGGTGATCGTGGTGTGCGTCAGCTTCCTGGTCTTCATGATCATCCTGGGCGTGTTCCGCATCCGCGCGGCCCACCAGCGCACCGTGCGCGACCAGGACGCAGGCAAGGAGAACGAGATGGACTGGGACGACTCCGCCCTCACCATCACCGTGAACCCCATGGAGGTAGGTGGGCCTGGGGCGGCGTGGGGCTCGGCGGGTGTCGGGGCCGTGGGGCCGGCCGGCTCAGCCCCCGTCTCGGCAGACTTACGAGGACCAGCACAGCAGTGAGGAGGAGGAGGAGGAGGAAGAGGAGGAAGAGGAGAGCGAGGACGGGGAGGAGGACGACGACATCACCAGCACCGAGTCGGAGAGCAGCGAGGAGGAGGACGGCGGCCGCGGGGAGCAGCCCCGCGGGAACCGGCAGCAGCAGCTGGAGTGGGATGACTCGACCCTCAGCTACTGAGCCCACCCTGTACAAAGCCCCTCTAAGGAACCCGCCCCTGCTTGGTGTAGGCCTAGCCCCCCCCCCCGCCCCCGCATCTCTAAGTTATGGGCCCTGGCCCCGCCAGGAAGCCGCCACCACACATTCGTGGACCAAGGGTTGGAATCGCTCTCTCCTACCTGGTGACCCTTTTTTCTTTTCTTTCTTTTTTTTTTAAAAAGAAGTGTTTATTTTTTCCAAACTAGTGCATGTATAAAATGGCAGAACGGGGGTTAATGTGTAGATGACAAACTGACTTTTTAATATTTTGTAAATAAACTGGGATTCCTCACGTCCTTTGCCCTAGTGTGACCCAGGGCTGGAAGCAGGCTGGGCTGGGGCACCCAGGGCAGGAGCCCCACAGCCCCCCCGTTGCCCCTCAGCGTGGTGTGGGCTGGGCTGTTGGGCAGAGATGGGGTGCCCTGCTTGCTCCCTGGAGGTGGGGGACCCATCATTTGGAAACTGGTAGCGATTGAGTCTGATCTTTGATGTTCCGGCCTCTTGATGGGGGGGTGGGGGCGGGCGCTGGGGTCCCTTCTGCCCCTGCTCTGAGGAGGCAGGTGTGGACTGCCCGCCTGCTTGGAGACCCCCCCCAGCTCCGGTTGCCAGCTCGAGGGGGTAGGAGGGAGGCGGGCCTGGCCGGAGCACCCAACCCCGCCGGGCCGGGCCGCGTGTGGCTCTGTGCTGTCGTCGCTGTAGTGCTGTGTAACTGAGAGCAGGTGCCCGCATCGTGTACAGGGTGACGGGTCCGCGTGCGCTCCCCCAATAAAGCTGCGGTTCTAACCAGAGGCTGAGCCTGCTCTGTGGTGTCGTTCTTCGCCCCCGGCCCACCCTCTCGCCAGGGCCTGCCTTCCCTCCTTCTCTGTGCGCAGGGACACTCGCTCGGGCGAGGCACACACGGGTCCCAGCTTCTGTGCCGGACCATGGACGCCACAGCCCAACCGGCGATGCCAGGGCCGACTCCCCCATCCTGAGCCCCCTGTTTGAGAGGCCGGCAGTCACGGCCGCACCTTTTCAGGCCAACGCTCCATCCACAGCCGCCCTGGAGACCAGGCTCCAGAGTTCTACGCGTGTGCAGCACTCAGGACGCCGTTGTGTCCAGGGACCAGCATATATTAGACTTTAGGGGGCCGGGGCTGTTCTGAGCCTCGGAGGGCCAGTGAGTGGTTTTGTTGTGTTTTTTTTTTTCCCTTACCCGCAAACAAAATAGCTCTACAGCAGAGCTCAAGAGTTCTCGTACCCATGAGTCACTTTGAAAGTGGCAAGCAAGCATCCCTGAATCGAGGAGGGCCGGGGGCGCCCCAAACCAGTCAACGGAGAGGTCGAAGGGGAGGGGACGGGGGTGCCCTGTCTGGGCGCAGGCACAGACCGTGTCCGGAGTCGGGGAGAAGGCAGGCTCCCCGGTGTGGGGAACAGTGTGGGCTGGTCCGGACCCGCCAGCTGGAAGACTCGGGGTTGCAGTCCAGATGCAGCTGGGAGGGTACCCCCACCCCGCCCAGTCTTCGCGCTGCACCTCTGAGCGAGACTGTTTCCTTCCTGAAGCGCTTCAAGTCGTGAATAAATAACCGTTGTAAACAAGGTGGTCGGAGGGCCTCCGGGTGGCCAGTCCTCCTGCTATTGGCGATTGTCTTTGGACACGTTGTGGGCCAGCCAGTTCACCTTGGTCTTCCAGCTCTCCCGCAAGGCCTCGTTGAACTTCACCCGGAAGTGCTTGAGCGCCTCCTCTTCCGTCTTCCCCAAAGCCAGAGAGTCCTGGGTGGAGGTCAGGCCGTGAGGCCTCCCCTGCCCATCACCCCCTGAGGAAGGACTCCTTCCTCTGATCCCCTAACAGGTCAGGCCTGCCCTGACTCATTCCCCAAAGGGCCATCGGCCCGGCCCCCAGGCGCTGGCTCCTCCCCAGGGACGGGGTCTGTGGGCCCTGGGCACCACCGAGAACCTGGCAAGGCTGGCAGCTGCCGACGCCCACCTTGCGGTCCCCTTCCCACCCTCCTGCCGTAATGCTCAGGAACGTGCCAGCACAGTCCTGGCCACTGGCCCTGGGGCCGGGGCGCGCTGTGCCCCTCGCCACGGCCCCGAGTGCGAGGTGCTCCCGGGCCAGGGGCCTCACCTTGAGGTACTGAATGTCTTTGGAGCAGCTGAGCTCGGGCAGGCCCGCCGCACGCATGAGCGCGAAGAGGTGCAGGAAGAGCAGCCCGTGCCGCCGCAGGATGGTGTAGGCCCTCTCGCAGTAGTCGCGGAACCTGCGGGCAGCACCGTGAGCGCCGGCCGGGGCGGGGCGGGGGTGGCGGGCGGTGGCCCCGGCCCAGCCCCTGGCGCGCGGGGCCCCTCACCTCTCGAACTTCTCGCTGTTGTTGGTCTTGCCCTGCTGGATCACGTGCACGAAGTCGTAGGTGAGGATGAACGGCACCCGCTCCCGGTTGATCCCAAATTTGGTCTTGAAGTTTCCCAGGAAGTGGCCAAAGTCGATATGGAAAAGCTGCAGGGACGTGGGGCGAAGGGTTCAGCCGAGCGTCGCAGCCCCGAGCAGGAGGGGTGGGGAGCCGGGGGTCCCTGGGCCCTACCTGCCCGCTCTCCCGGATCATGATGTTGTCGCTGTGCCGGTCGCCGATGCCCAGCACATAGGTGGCCACGCAGTAGCCGGCACAGGAGAGGGTGAACTCCTCGATGGCCCGGTCCAGGGCCTCCCTGGGGTTGGGGGGGGTGGGGGAGCCCTGGTCACACCACCTTCACCCAGAGCTGGGACTACGGTCCCCTCCCCTGAATCCACCTCAGGGCTTCAGTGGACCCAGAGGTGTGGCTGGCCTGCTCGATGAGGGGGCATGCAAGGAGGAGGTTCAGGGACATCTCCCCAACCCCCGTCACCCCAGACTGGACAAGTGAGTTCCCAGAACCATGCCGCGGGCTTGTGGGCCAGTGATGAACAGCTGGTCTGTCCCCGTGAGAAGGACACATTAATGGGCCCTGATGCCCCTGAGGGTTCCACAGGCTGGTCCTCAGTCAAGCCGAGAGTCTTGGAGACCGAGGCGAGGGCAGGCCCCCTCCTTGCCCTCCGTGACACCCACCCTGGGTTCTTGGACTTGAGCCAGTTGAGCAGCGCGTCCTTGTTGAAGGCGGCCGTGGCCGCCATGTTGCTCTTGTTCAGCTGGATGTTGGCGATGGTGTCAGAGCGAAGCACCACCTCGATGAGGCCCGTGCGGTCCCCCGTGGACAGGCAGCCGTAGGGCGTCATCCTGGCCAGGCAACGCTATGCTCAACAGCTGCCCAGGGTCCCGACCCAAAACAGCCACGGGAAGGGCGGTGCAGACAGTGGAAAGGGGGCAGTGGCCCGGAGTGGCCAGGAGTGGCCAGGCCTGGGACTCGCTGCATCACAGGCTCCCCTGAGGGCCACTGGTGTGGGCCAGGTAGCACTAGGCTATTACCAGTGTGAGGCCCCCGTGCACTTACTGGGAGGACCCCCTCCCCCCTGCCCACCCGACTCAACAAAGGTGCGCGAGGGAAACCCGGGTGGGAGATAGGCGCTGGGGGCACCAGCCAAGGGCTTCCCCCTGGGGTCCCAGCGGCCTCACCTCAGGTCCAGCCCCTCCTGCTTCCACAGCACATCCATGAGCTGGATCATCTGCAGCGTCAGCATGTCCTGGCGGAGATCTGGGCAGCCGAACAGAAAGGCATGCGGGGGTTTCTCAGCGGGGCTCTCTCGGGCAGCCCCAGCCCCCCTCCCCTGCCCCCAGGGCAGCTCACCATCCCCGTTCTTGAAGATGAGGCCCACGCTGCCGTGGCCACCCGCCTGCTCGTTGCTGTAGACCACCCACAGCGGCTTCATCTTGGAGTCCATGAAGGTGCACTGGTCCACGCTGGGAGGAAGGGGGGTGGGCAGAGGGCCGTGAGCCAGGCCCCACCCGCCCGGGAGGTGGCCCTAGGGGCGGGTGCTCACCAGACTTCCGCCAGCAGGGTGCTGGGGTCCAGCGGGGACTGCAGGTGGGACAGCGCCTCCAGGTAGGCCTCCTGGCGCATGCACAGGTGCATGACCTCCTTGGTCTGGGGCTTGGCCATCTTCTGCGAGCTCACCTTGACGATGTCGTTCAGGGCCTTCAGCTTACTCAGCGCTTCCCCCTGCGGAGAGCGGGGCGCGGCGGGCGTGGAGGGCGGCCGCGGGCTCCGGCGGGGGTGGGGGGCGCGCAGGGCGGGGGCGGGGGGCTCACCTGCTTCATCAGCACCTTCATGTGGTGCGTGCTGCCCCGGCAGTAGGCCTCCAGGATGAGGCCGAAGCGCAGCGCCACGGCCGGCACGTGCATCTCAGAGCTGGGGGCGCAGCGGCGGGGCTGAGCCAGGCGAAGGGGCGCGCACCCCCGCACCCCCCAACCCCCCAGGCCGGGCCCCCCCCACCCCAGAGGGGAGTCCAGCTACCGAAGGTGCCAGAAGAGGAAGTGGCCGATCTTGCGGTTGGCCAGGGCGCGCTCCAGCAGGAACTTGGTCAGCTCGCAGTCCAGGTACGACTCGTACTTGAGCACCTGCACCAGCTGCAGCAAGTACTGGAAAAGCTCGTCGTCCCTGCGGGGAGCGGCTGTCGGCGAGGGGCTGGGCAGGGGCCAGAGGCCTGCTGCAGTGGACGGAGCCCCCCAACCCCACTCAGGTTGTGGGGCAGGGCCCACGGGTGCCGTGGTGGGGCAGGCCGGGGGCGTGGCCAGCCCGGAGGGGCGTGGCCAGACGGGGAGGGCGTGGTAGGGAGGAGGGCGTGGCCAGCCCGGAGGGGCGTGGTCAGACGGGGAGGGCGTGGTAGGGAGGGAGGGCGTGGCCAGACCGGGGGCGTGGTCCGGCGGGAGGGGAGGGGCCAGGCCGGAGGGGCATGGTCAGATGGGGAGGGCGTGGTACGGAGGGCGTGGCCAGCCCGGAGGGGCGTGGTCCGGCGGGAGGGGAGGGGCCAGCCCGGAGGGGCGTGGTCAGATGGGGAGGGCGTGGTAGGGAGGGAGGGTGTGGCCAGCTCGGAGGGGCGTGTTCAGGTGGGAGGGCGTGGTCAGGTGGGAGGGGCGGGGCCAGACCGGAGGGGCGGGGCCAGACCAGGAGTTGGAGGGCCTTGGTGGGCGGGGCCAGACAGAAAGGGGCGGGGCCAGACCAGGAGTTGACAGGGGGCCTTGCCGGGTGCTCACGTCAGTTTCCTCAGGGACTTGATGGCAAAGGAGCCCACGTGGCGGTCAGCGAAGCTAAAGTCCAGTAGTTCCAGGGCGCTCAGGACGGGCAGCTCCGGCCAGGAGCATAGCAGGTAGACCATCTGGGGCGGGGGGCGCTGAGATCAGGCACCGGTGCAGGGGTCGGTTGCGACTGCAGGCCTGGCCATCCCTCCCCCTGCCCACCTGGGCCACGTCCTCATGCTTGTTCCACTTGGTGACCAGCAGCAGCCGGGCCAGCGCTTCGGGAAAGCGCTCCTGGACCTCGCGCCGCATCTTCCACACCAGGTCCTTCTCGTGCTCGTACAGCTCCCCGGACCCCCGCCGCTCCAGGATCTCCCGCAGCTGCAGGAACTGGGGGTGCAGGGTGGGGTGAGGCTGAGCCCGGTCCCGCTGCCACCCCTGCTCCCGCCCCCTCCACCCCCCACCGTGGCCCCCACTCACCTCCTCCTCTGTGAAGTGCGCATGCTCCCCATGACACCCCAGCTCCAGGATCTGCAACAAGTGGTCAGGCCCTCAGTGTGCCCGGCCGGTGGTGCGCCTGTCCCAGGCTCATGGGCCCAGCCCTGAGCTGCCAGAGCAGCTGCCCCCCCCCACCCCGCCTCTCCACCGAACATGACTTGACC